TCTTCTTCTTCTTCTTCTTCTTTTTTTTTTTTTTAGTTGTTGTTGTTGTTGTTGTTGTTGTAGTTGTAGTTGTAATTGAAATTGTATGTAATTTTAGAGGTGTTCAGTTAAAACAAATAAGGAACATAGATAAATGGGGAGGGGGCAAGGTTTAAGAATATATAGAGGAAACTCTTTACCTTGATAAAAATAACATATAATCTTGACAAAACTGTGAAAATTGTTATGTTTTGTGGCCCATTATTTTGATGCTTCAGGTTTCGTGTCTGGTAAAAAAAAGGAAATTGGGAAAGTCATGAAAAACAATTGTGAAAATCTTAAAGTTAGAACATACAACATGAACACAAAGCACAATTAAGTGTTGAAGCTTACCTTGGTAAGGTTATTGTTAAAATATGTCTAAAACCAATAAAAATTACATTAAATCTATTGAAGGCCATCTTGGGCTAATTAATCGTGTATGCACATAACTTGTGCAAGTAATAGATGATTCAAGCATAATTGCCCATAAGGCCCTTGTCAATGTATTGACCATTCTAAGCAATTCTGTAGCGTACCTAGTTTATGTTTTTCTTTTGAAATGGTGTTATTTGAACATTTTTCTTTTGAAATTGTATGTGGACATTTAGAATTTGTGAGTATAGAGCCAACAAGTTAATTTTAATTTCCCCCAAAAATTAATGGACTTGTTCATTGGAACAAGTTGCCATTTTATGAACTTGTGAAATCTTATTATGTTATTATGCTGATGAAATATGAGACAAATTCTTAAAATTTCTAAAATCTGAAAAAAAGTATATAGTTCACTGAGTGTTACAGATGAATTTAGTCCAGGAACTTGAAGTAACTTTTAAATTCATCCCATGTATTTAGGGATGTGACATTGACAACAAAACATCAAAGAAGACGGACAAAATTCAAACATCAATGTTAGCACCCCCAAAGCCTTAATTGTGTAATAATAATAATAATTATTATTATTATTATTATTATTATCATCATTTTATTGATTTTCTCTCTCTCTATATATATATAAATATATTATATCGAAACTAAAAATCAGCGAAACTTGCTAGATGCGGAATGTTTATAACGTGGAAATCTGTCTAATGTGATCATAAATCGGGGACCTATCAAACATATATTCTCCAGTATTACATTGCATAATGTGGGAAAAAATAGTGGTCCCTGGAGATTCCACATTGGGCAAGTTTTAGAATATCATAATAAGTCAAGTTTAATGAAATAGTCCTTATGCTGGGGTGTTCATGCTTCATATGAGAAAGTTTAGACCATTTTGTTGCACCACTAGTTTTTTTTATGCACTGACTTACATTTGTGCAGATCCAGAATAATTATAAGTTACATTGAAGTTGCCAGTATTAATGAGAAAATTACTTGTCATCTATCATTTAATTTTGAGATCCAGAAAGTTTCTTTAAAATTAATATTTTACAGGATTACAATTAATTTTAATCACACAATTGTAATTTTTAATTTATTTTAGATTGAATTTCTATTATTTTTGTTTTCATTTATGTGTATTCAGGGAAACCAATGAAAAGTGTTGGTATTCGTTGATTAAATAAGCTTCCTTCTTCTCTGGCCTAAGAGCGAGCATTCTTTGTTATTAAGGTGATGGAACTTCAATTCTTATGAATCTTATGATTGGGAAATCTTTACAGGAACATTACTGAACAATATTTGGAACAATTATTTGGGAAATATGGCACTATAGTTCAGAAGAATTTGTTAAAGGATAAAGTAACTGGCATGCCAAGAGGAGTGGCCTTTGTCAGGTAAGTTGAATTTTATTTGGTGGAAGTTCTGTTCTTGTTTTTTAATTTTTTGGTGTTTCTAAAAAGCTATTAGAATTTATATCAACTTCTTAATATGCTAATATATTAAGCTAGGAAGGCATGATTACTTGAAGAGTTATTCCTGGAATGAATCAAAGTTTTTTGAAGGTGAAATAAGAATAGATTCCCTAAAAAGTTAGCTGATTTATCCTTTGCATCAACATTTCTAAGCAAATTGTGCAAATCTTTATTTTCAATTTTCATTATGATGTGTAAATGATTTCAGATATTAAAAATTGATTTTATCAAAGTTTCATTCTTGATTTGAGGAGTGAATGGGTTTTCTATATAGATTTTTGTGGAAATTAGAAACCTAGACAAATCCGACGTGTGGAAAGAATCTTTGAAAGGGTTCACACACTACGAAGTATATTTTGTACTTAATGTGGATACAGTGCACATTAGCCATGGTTTAAAGTAGGTGAAGTATATTACGGTCATAAGGAATAACAGATAATATGCGTCCGACTACTACTTGCACGTTTTGTACAGCTCTTGCGGCAGTCTCTCATATCCCAATCTCCATACCCCTCTATCGTCGAGGCAGTCATTCTCGACTAGATCTCTTCTTTGCTTATCTTTAAAAACCTAATTCTGCCATTCCTCTCTGGTTCTACGTCTTTGTCTTTTTTGTAATGAAAACCACTCGCAAACCTTTCTAGGCCGTATTCAACAATCAAGCTTTATCATGTGACCAAACCATTTCAGCCTTTGTGTTTCCAATTATCTCTAATTGATTTTCGAACCTGTATTCACTTCATAATTTTTTCATTTCCAATATTTTTCATATTAGATACTTCACAACTTCTCAAAAAATCCATTTGTAGACTCATTAATTTTTTTTCTCTTTTCCTTAAATTCCATGTTTCTGAGCTGTATGGTGTTGTATTTTGTATGATAGAGTCAAACAGTATTTTCTGAGTGGACCTGGATATTTCTTTTCCCCAGAGCAGAGTTCAACTGTCTAATAGCTTGTTGTCCTTTTGTAATTTTGAAAACAATATCTTTACTGGAATACCCTTCTTCGGCCTTAATTCCTCCCAAATATTTCAATTCATGACGTGCTTCTATCTGATCCCCATTTTTTGGTGTATGATTACTTTTTTTTTTAGACTTTCTTTTAGACTCTTTGTTTGTCCAAAAGGCTGCGAAACTTCATTAATAGCTTTAATTGTTGTTTCTTGATTTGCTTACCAATCTTTTACTGCATTTATATATTGAGGGCTGATACAAGCCTTTACCAGAAGAGTTTTCTAACGAGATTGTATTGTAAAATTTTAGTATAAAGGATATCTGTGAAACATGTGTAGGCTGAACAAAACACTGTTGTTCATTCCGAATAAAATGATTATTCAGAAAAAAATTCTGAAAAAGGACTAAAATCAAATAAAATCAAAATCCTGCCTGTAAAATAAGCAAATAAATAGTAGTATTAGTAGTAGTAGTAGTAATAATAAAATAGTTATAGTAATAATAATATAATTTATTATTATTATTATAAATATTATTAAAAATATTATTAAAATAAAAATAAAATTTGTTGGACTATGTAATAGAACCAAGAACAGTATTGTATTTCAATGCTGACATCTGACATAATTCTTCAGAGATATAATAGAAAATAATGAAAAGCAGAAGAGTAAAATGAAATACACTGAGGAATAAAAAGACATTTTGGAAGAGATGAGGCATGGGAAATCAAATTATGAATCCATATTACAACAGCCAATGTTCAGAAACCTGAAGCAGCTCAAAAAACAAGAATAACCAATGGCTGGAAGCAGTTCAAATGAGGCTCCAATGTCATTTTCTTGGCTCTAAGTGATAGAATCTATAGCAAAACAAAGACCCATGAAAAGACTTCATCAACAAATATAATAGGGAAAATTAAAAAGAAGCAGAAGAAATGTCTAGAGTAGCATTTGCCAACTGAATGAGAAATGAGGTCAGACCGGAATTCCCCTCCGAGAGCAGGCACACGGAGAAGCAGTGTGAGCAAAGGAAGGAGGAAAGGAAAGGGGCTCACCAATAAGGAAAACCAGTGGGCTTTTGCATATGTTTAAGGGAACATGCGTGGGAGACTCTGCAATCCTCCTATTTGTTATCTATTTGTTAACATTACATATTGTTTCAGAATAAAACAATTCATTATATTATATACTATTGTATAAAATAATATTGCCCTAAATGTTAAAACTGTCTTTGCCAAAAGCGTTATCTAATCGAAGAATGAAGTGGAATTACAATTATGTAATAATGTATTTTCTGTTATTATAATTCTTCATATTATTATTGAATCATAAACATTCTAAAAAATAATTACCATTTAATAAACGTAATTGTCAATTTTCTAAGCGAACCCTTTCCCTCCCACTTCCGTACCATCATTGGAACACTGTACTCTTGCTACCATGTCAGGATCTTTCTTTGTATATAGCAAGATCGAGAAAGAAATGGATTGTGCGGGAACATCTGGAAGATAATAATCCTATTCAAATCTACTGCTTAACAGCCAACTGCAAGAGTGTACCAAAGAAGTTATTTTTTCTTAAATAATTTTGTGTGAATTCCTTGTTTTCTTTACTAGTGTTTTTCTACATTTACCAGTATTTTATTACACATTTTTTACAATGGCAGAGATATCTGTTAAAGTGATTTATTGACTTCGCAATATGGCTCAATTTTTATTTGAATTTTAAACTAAATTTTATTATTGATAGCTTCTAAATAGGTGCAGGTTTCTAAATATTATTGATGGTTTCTAGAAAGAAGCTATTTTGCAAAATATTGAGACCTTTCTTTCTTCTCTAATATAATATGAACAACTATCCATTTCTTTTATTCTTTTTATTCATAAATATTTGAATTTTGGTAGACATCCCAGTACAATGCTGCTGTTTGTTCATCACAGCATAAGTCGTAGGTATCTGCTCTATATTCTTTTGAAAATAATTATTATACTGTGATTTATTCAAAGCTGCCTCTGGCAGGTCATTAGCTGTTATGGTGCCATCCAATTGGGACCTTATATGACCTTATGGTGACGTTCAACCTTCTGATTTGATGACACTGAAACAGCTCATTTATGTCAGAGGCAGCTGTGAATAAATCCTGGTATATGTCATATGTCAATTTCAAAATAATGTTTTCCTGATTTTGTGACTTAAATTGAGCATGTGCATGTAATTGAGGGCTGTAGTTTTGATATTTCCTTCAGTTTTCTAGAAAATAGTATAAAACATTAAATTGGTACAATTCCGACCTATTCATCTGACAGAAAAGTCATATTGAATTTGGAGTTCAAATATTTTTCGTCAAATGTTTGCATTTAGTAGTTTGACTGCATTTGAAACGGTTGTTGAGAAAAAAGAATCTTGATGCAACCAGTGGTGACACTGGCTGCATAATTCCAAGTTGATTGCTGTTATTGCAAAGGGGGAAGAACTAGCAGATAAGGAGGATTTAGAGGACAGGAAAATGCTAGGAGATTTGGGAGGATGTCGTGTGGAAACCAGACCACATTTTTATGCAAAAATTGTATCAGCCTGATGATTGAAAAGTGTAAAATGTTCTTAGAAAACCAGCAAGTAATGGGTTAACCAGGGACAACCCTCAGGTGCTTCATTATGCAATATGTGTTGATGATAATTCCATTTTTTAAATTTTTCTTTTAGAAAATTAAGTTAATTTTGAATGACTCTTCTTTTGCAGGTATGATCGCCGTGAAGAAGCGCAACAGGCCATCAATGCACTTAATGGTGCAATTCCAGAGAATGGAACAGAACCACTATCAGTCAAAATTGCAGAAGAGCATGGGAAGCAAAAGGCAGCTTATTATGCAGGCTGGCAGGCTGGTTATAATCAAAGTAGAGGTAAGTTTTTGTACATGTGAAGATTAGTTATTAATGTATTCATGTGGGCAGCAAAATTGGAAATATTTATTTACAATGATGAAAGGAAAACATCATATAAGTAATCATCTGTTTTGGTGGTTACTTACAAAAGTGCTTACTCAAGTGTATAACATTGTTTTTTATGAAATTATTCTTGTCATTTTATTTTAAAATTGTACTAACAAGATATATTTATAGATAAATATTATCTCATGTTTTTAATAATTGATACCAACATTGTTTTAGAAATTTGTTATTGAAGTATTTTATTGTTAAATTTAAAATGCTGGAAGATATAGTAGCTTGTGTCATTATAAATTTTTGTTTTTTTTGTTTTTTGTAATTTAAACATAAACTCCCATAGGAAATCTCAAGGCAATATTACAGAGATTCAATAAAAATGATTTTAACATGCTGTAATGGGGTTTAAATTGGCTCTTTCTTGTATTGCTTAATTAAAAAGAAATTGTTGCCTTAATCCAAGCTAAGAACATGCAAAAAGTGGGATAAAGAGGTCATGTTTGGGACAAACATTTTGACCTTCAAGCTGTTTTTCAGGGAGTTAGATAACCACAATGAATGTCCCAAGACCATCAGTCCAGTCAAAATGTAGTTTTCTAAAACAAATTGTGCAGTTTTGATTTTTTGCTGCTTTATGTTTTTGTAGGGTGTTGATTATGAGTCTGACATTTGCCAAAAAATATTTTCCATGGAATTTGAGCAATTACAAAAAACATAAAGAAATAACCTTTTTTTCTATCATTTTGCCTGTATCTAAAAAGCTATCAAATTTTTCCAAAAACTTACTCTTTTACCAAAATATTCTATGTAACATTTTCTTCAATTTAGTTCCTTACAACTTTTTTTGTTATATGCACCATTAGGTGTAATTGATAATTTAATTTTGACAATTTGTGCCCAACTTACTGTTAGTTATGCTACCTATTGGAATGACTTATCAGAAATCTTTCTTAATGAAAAAAATTTCTTAATTTCTCATCGTACGGTTCTTTTTGCCAATAGTTTTGTTGAATAACAATATTACAAACAAATAAAATCCAATATTATTGTTATGCACATTATGAATAAAACGCTTTGACTGTTTAAAAGGGGCATTGATAATTTGCATACCAAGCTCCTTTCACAGGAGTTATAATCTAAAATTGACAAACAACAAACAGAGTTTTCATTGAGTTAAACATGTTCTAAAGTGGTTCAAAGATTATAACCTGTGATATCTGTTGTACCATGTAAAATTGAATGAGTAGCATTTTGTGTTGTATGGCCAAATTATTTAACTGACATCCAGCTTTGTTAATTGTGAATTTAGGAAATAAACAAGCAATCAACAACCATAAATAATAATTAATAGTTTCTTAAAATTCACTTATTCTTGGTTGCTTTGAGGCCGATGGTCGGATTTCAGATGATTCAAGACCATATGATCTTCTGGAAAATCTTTGACATCCAAAGATTATGAGATCTCAAGCAAATAATAAATAGTACTTCTGGTTCAACATCATTGTTCTCGTGGTTATTAAGAGGTTGGGGATTTCATTTTATTGCACCAACCATTAAGGCATAACTTGAAAAATAAAAATCCTGCCTTCCTACAATGGCAGTTTTCTTATACACCATGCCCTTGCAAGATAGATTCATGTGCAGGTGGCCTCTTAGGGTTGTGACAGGCCGGAGCCCACTGCTGTAAAACTTCACTTATACGTTTTTGAGGAGACTGAAGGGGAAAAAATGTGTAAGTGAGAAAAACGCATAACTGAAATAAAATATTATGACCTAATAAAAAACTTTACAATGGCAGGATCCACTCTTGGATGTGCTTACAGAAGCTCCTACCAGGGTTACTTTTGATTTATTTAATTTGTTTTATTTAGCCAAAGAAACTGTGTCATAGGGGAGAGAAGTACCATCTACCCACGTTTTCTTGTTCTCCAGAATATCTTCCCATTATATTTACTATAAGTAGTTGAATGATGAGTAAGGGCTTTAAAAAAAAAAAGCAAAGTTAGCAAATCGTGAAAACTAAACATTTTTGCTCCCGAGTTATAGTAAACTCATTTGCAGCAGTAAACAAATTGCAGTTATTATTATTATTATTATTATTTTGTTGTTGAAAGCATGAGCATTTCTCCTCAGATGGTCGCTATGGTATTTGAGCTCTCTCTGCTTTTAATAGTGGCTTTCTGTTTTAGTACGTAAGCCACAAAGTCTCACACTGTTTTCCAGTTGTCTCTGGATTGCAGCATAGTCTGGGCTGTGTTTGCAGGTGTTAATTCCCGTCGCAATTTGCTGTAGCAGTTTCATCTTTCTTCTTCCCAAGCTTTGCAACGGATGTGTTTGGTGTGCTTAGCGTCGTCGTCTTCTTCATGGCATAGTGCACATATCGGGCTTTCAGAGATTTTAAATCTGCATAGATATGCTTGAAAGTTACCCTGCCCTGAGAAGGCTTGCGTCAAGTAGAAGTCCATTGTGTCATGGTTCCTGCTGGCCCAATCCTTGATGTTAGGGATGAGGCTGTGTGTCCATCTACCTTTGTACTCCAGGTCTCATCGGTTTTGCCACTGGTGCAGAAGATGGTTTCTCAATTCAGTTTTTATTTTGTCTAATTGTCTTTTGGACAGGGTTTGTTGTTTATCTGCTGTTGTCCTCGGTACATTGTCCTCCTTTCCTGGGCTAAAAGGTCCACTCGGGGGACACTAGCCAGTACTAAGTTTGCTGTCGGATACCGTGTGATATCCTGAGATTATCTTTAGTGCCATCCTTGTCTGGATCTGTGTGAATTTCCGTCGAATGGACTCTTTAGCTAGCGCATCTGCCCACACTGGGGTGGCATACAGCATTTTTGAATGCACTACGGCACGAAATTAATCTTTTGCTTTCACTGGGACCTTCTGAGTTCAGCATTAGTCTAGAGAGATTTGATCCAGCCTTTGCAGCTTTTCCTGTTGATTTAATAATATGGGGTCCGAAGCTCAATCCTCCGAATCAATTTCCACCCCCATGTATGTAATATGCCGTTTCCATTCAATAAGTTCCTCCCCCAGTCGGATCACCGGGGGGCGGAATGCTCTGCGGTTTGCAATCAACACGGCTTCTGTCTTGGCAACAGCCATCTGGAGGTTTCTTTGGTCCAACCAGCTTTTAACCCTGTGTAGTGTTTCGTTAGTCTTCATTTCCAGTTTTTCCACGTTGTCACTGTGGCATATAATTGGTGTATTAAAATTAGTGTAGTGAAAAAATTATTGAATCAAATAGACCTTTTCCTTGATGTTCTTGGGGAAAAGAACTTTCTAGCATAACAAAGATTTGTGGAGGTCTATTATGTATTGGCATAATTTTCATTAGTCTAAGGTTTTTGTTTGCTGATCAAAGAAAATACAATATCAAAACATAATCAAGGTAAGCTTCTTAGCTTACTGATTTGAATTTTATTTGAATCTGCTGTGTTGACCATTTTTATACGTTGACCAATCAAAGACCGTTATTTTCTTCTGGTTCTGAATGAAGGTAAAGAATGCTAATATGCTGCCAGGAAAATGTAAATTGCGGTAACATAAGAGCGAGATTTTACTCTATAGCAGAAAATAAGAGTGTGATGAAATCATTCAATTTAATCTCAGATAGCTAGACCCCCAACTCATTTTCTGCTTTTGTAGATTGAGTAGTGTAAAGGAGAAGCTGTATCAAGCACTTTGAATTTTGTCTATTACAGAGTTGCAAACTGCAGAAGCAACTGACACAGTAACAATTCAATTACAGACAGAAGAAGTCTGAGCCAGTGTAAATTCACCAGGACATCCAAGCAAAGAGCTATTTTTCTCAAATGATATAGCAAAAGCAAAAATTAGATGAGCATGGACTGTGGTGGAGAACAGATTCTCTTTAAGGACATGTGTAAACATTTCACGGTGCTTTAAAACCTTGTTTCCTGATGTGAGATAGCGAAATAGCACAGAAATTCAACTACTTTCTTGCACTTTATTTTTTCTATACCTTTTTATGCTTTGTGTTCACAAAGAGTACTGTATCAAAGGAACAAGATCATTAACTAAGATATAAAATTATTTGGTAGGCAGATAGTTATATTGAACATAGGCACAAATGTTTCTGATTAACAAATCAATAGGTAGCTGAGCCAAAAGTAAGTTATGCAATAATTTGTTGAAATTTAGCTGTGAAATTGAGCCGAACAGTGCACATTATGGAGAAGGTTGTAAGAAATAAAATGGTAGGAAATTTTATGTAGAATATTTTTGTAAAGAGTAATTTTTTGCCTAAATACTATAGTTTTTTAGTTTTATTAAAAAAACTTGAAAAAAGTAATATTTTCATGAATTTTTATTGCAACTGAAATTCCAACAATGTTTTTTGGCAAGCTTCATATTCATATTCAGCACCCCAAAAAACATAACGGAGCAAAAAATCAAAACTGTACCACTATTTGTTGTAGAACAGTCTTTTTGAGCACGTAATGACTACTATGAGGTGAATGTGGTACAAGGCATCATATTGAAAAAGTTATTCTATTCAAAATAAAAATTGGCAAATTTCATTTAATATAGTATTTTTTTAAATTTCAAATTGTTTTTGGGGAATCCTCTTGTGAATATTACTAAGTTCAACAAACTTTGCTTTCTAGTGCCTCAGGCATAGTTTTATAGCAATGCCTTCATAATAGAAGCTGTGGACACTAAATTTTCTTTTGAACGAGGTATAATTTGTTCCTTAATTCCCAAAGACTCCAAAACAATTTGAAAGTTTAGAGGAAGTTGTGACTTTAGAAAGAAAATGGATCATTGCATATTTTTGCTATTCATGAGTTACATCTTTGTGTATACAACAAACCAAAAATGTCTGTATATTTTATGCACTCAAGCTAGGTTTTTGAATATCACTGAAAAACACATTTCTAAAAAAGAGGGTTCATGAAACTATTATGTTCTTGCTACTTTCTTCAAGTACTTCAAAAAAGCTCATTCTTAACTCAGCAAGAATAAGAGTCTGACTAGACACCAAAGTTAATGAATACCAAGTGATACTGATGAACTGAATATTACATTCAGAGGCAAAGTTGTACTGACCTCGAGTCTTCTTTGTTAAGCTATTGGAAGTATTAGATTGCATTATCAGCCACGTGTCAACCTGTGGGCGCTCAATGTCAGAACAGAATCCACTTCTCCCAGTGTTACTATTCTAGCTAATTTTCTGGACGCAGAAGGCGATACACACTTCTTTTGCATCCGTTTTCAGACAAAACAATTTTTTTAAAATATTAACCCTAAATACCCAATAAAAACTGAGCCTAGGGCAGTAAGAAAGTTTGCTGTGAAAATTCAGGAGGTAATAGCTGTGCTCACCTTGATCAACAGTCTTGTTGAGTTTCTGTATCATTGGTGACAGCATTTTCATTGTCTTATTTGGGAATGCCTTTGAGACAATTCCCATGGCAATTTTGGTATAGGGGAAGTTCATTGAATCATTCATGTGTTCACATTTGCCCATGCTGAAAGGTAATAATTATGAAAATTTCTTCTGGTACTGCAATCTTTAGTCTGCACAGGTGCAAGCTGGTTACCTCCTAGACCCACAATTGAAGAGGGTGCTTATTTCCTAATCAAAGCAGGACCTGGTGTAAAGTTCTGATGAAATATTTGTTGGTTGCTTCCCAAGTAGGTAGAAGAGAAACTGTCAGGCTTGATTTTTGCCGCAGACTTACAAACTAGTGGTAATGGTTGAGGACTAAGCTGCAGACTTAAACAAACTAGTGGTAATGGTTGAGGACTAGAGGTTGATGATTCTCTTTTTTGCTGGGGTGCCATACCTTCTCCAGATATGTATTTGCTAGGCTGTCCGGGTGACGCTGTGTCCATGGTGAAGATGCCGATGTTTCTGCGACCTTTCTCAGGGCGTAGTGCTCAGCAGCATTCTCCTCTCCTCTCCTCTCCTCTCTCTCCCCTCTCTCTCCTCTCCTCTCCTCTCCTCTCTCCCCTCTCTCTCTCCTCTCTCTCTCCTCTCTCTCTCTTCTCTCTCTCCTCTCTCTCCTCTCTCTCCTCTTTTTCCCAGAGCATCTACGAGTCTGTCCTCTGTGCACAACAATAGTACGTAAACCTTACAGGATTTTCTCCAATGTGGATTTTCCATGATTAATTCGGTTGCACTTGAGCCTCTGCAAATTCGAAACTTATTTTAATTTTTAAAGGTTTTTTCCAAAAAGTCCCTTGGAATGTAGGAAATTTTTTAAAATATTCAAAAATTGTTCAAAATTTTTTCTTTGTATGTTTTTCTTATAAAAATGGTGCTGGTGCAAATTTCAGTAAACACCTAAAATTTCAAAACTTGCAAAAAATTTTTTTAGTCCCCTTCATGCAAGTACAGTATTGAAAGTACGTAGTTTTTACTTTCTTGTTTGCTACTATGTAGTTTAGAGAAAGTTATGCAAAACTATAATGAAAAACTGCAATTTTTTGATAGAAAAATCTTGTTTAGTAGGTCCTTGATACTGAAAAATTGATTTTTGGCAAAACATCTTTTTGACCGTATTGTCTTTTTGTGGACAATTAATGCCAGCTGCTAAACTATTTGTGGGATTTTCACCAAAATTGAGATTCTGGGATTGATCTTGCTGTTGTCATGGCCCCTTAGATTTGAAACTGGTGTTTTGATTTTTTGGAGGACTTTGCATGAAGCCACAAGGACATTTTCCAAATTTTCTCAAAAATAACTTTTTTTTTGTTTGTTTGTTGTTGTTTTTTCCCCTTTTTTCCCTTTTTTTTCTTTTCTTTTTTCTTCCTTTTTTTCTTCTCTCTCTCTCTCTCCCGGTGTGGAGCAAAGTTTGCTTATAAAAATATCACAGGTCTTAGTTCTCATTAGAATCTCTAAATTTTGAAAATGCCAAAAATTCCTCCTACAACCACATTATTGAAGATAGATTTTTCTAAATCAAATTTATCCTTTAAAATTAGATACACAAATAAAATCATATAAAATTCTTTTGAAATTGAGTAGCTTTTTGTGTAATTTTGAGTGATAACTTTTAAAAACTATGGAAACATTTTCTTAAACCTCAAACTTTTTCTTAATTGTTTTCTACATGTACACTGAATTTAAGACTCAAAAATTACAAATGTTTAACTATATTTTAAAAGTGTCAGGATGATTTAATTGTTCACCTTTGTTGGGCCACTAAGGTGATTGGAGTAGTGGTGGAGCTAACTGTTTGCTAAACTGAGTTTAAATCAAAGCATGCTCAAATAATTTTGTGGGTTCAGGTAGTATTATAATATTATATAGCTGGTACAAAGTATGTGCCATTGTAACATCCATAGTCTGAATGAAATCTGTTCCCCATTCCAACCAAATATTTTTTCTTTAGACTTTTCCTAAGAATACATCACAAAACACTGAATTCAATGGCACAAAGACATTTTAATGTAATATTTTGGATATTCAAAATGTTTAAGATGAGTTTTTGGCTTTGGCTTGTTCGTTTAGGTAGAAATTTTTCAAGTGATTTCTGAAGTGTTGGGTAGAAGTTGCAATTTTATATTACATAACTTTTATTAATAATTCGAAAAAGCATGTGCTGTTTTAATTGTTGCGGTTAGTAGTGTTGCAAGTGAGTGTGTTGGGTTGAGACAGTGCATTGGGTAGAGGGAGTGCGCTGGGTGGGTGTGTTGGGGTGGGGGAGGGATGTTGGTTAGGTGTGGAGTACATAGGTTAGAGGGAGTGCTTTCGGTAGGGTGAGAGTATTGCTTAACCCAGAAATGTCAGCGATATGTTTACTCACGTCAGTACCTGCATTGTATCAGTCAGGTTTAGAAGCTTTTGTGAGATGTGATTGATCTGAAGATCTAATTACAAAAATATTTATATTTTTCAAATTTTCCACTTTATGGAGGAACTTTACAAAGAATTCTTCACAGCAGAAACTTAGGCTTACTTGCCAGAGAGTACTTATTGTGAGAAAGGTAGAATTGAGAAACAACGACAGTTGTTTTGGTTGATTGAATAATATTTCTGTCTACTTAACAGCTTCGGGTGGGGTAGAGAGATGTTACCACTTACTTGTGGCAGACATGTGGTTGTAGGGTTGTTCTTGCATCAAATAAAGATTTAGACATGCACGTCCTACTCATTGGATTGTAGAATAACGCATGGTAATTATGACACCTCTATTTCATAAAGTACTTTACTGTGTACTACCCTTACACTAATCCCACCAGTGAAAGGAATAACTAAACCAATTTTGAACAAGTGCAAAGCAGATGAACATAAAGCACAGCTAGATGTGTTTTTAAGGAGCTCCAGAAGGGCAGAAAAATTATGAAATTTTCGATTTTTGTTTTTTGTTTGCATGTAAATATTTAAAATCTCTTTAATTTGATACATAGTTTATGAACCTTTGCAGTTTGTAAAGTTGTTGCTAGTAAAGAGTTCAAAATTACTTTGAAAAGAGAGGGTGTGGCCATCTTTGGGCAATTGTCAGTGATGACGTCTATATCAATGTGCAATTTTCTTCTTTTACTATGAATTACTGTGGTAGAATTCCAAATGTCAAATTCTGAATTTGGGAAGCTTTTACAATGTGTGTTCACATGTAATCCATGCTACTGTGAATGTTTGTTTACATTGTGTTCTGTGCTTATTGAGTATTTGTTCCTCTTTTGAAATGAAAAGTGTAGTTAAACCATATTTAAATGTGATTTAATTAAATTTAGTAATCTACAAAGGTAAACATTTGTTAGCTAAAACTCCATCTTCACCTAGATGTGAAAAAAATTTCAAAAATGTTTGGTAAGAAACAGTTGGAAAAGAGACTGAGAGCTTCAAGTAAAGCCCTGAAAGAAATAGAAGCAATACATAAGAAGGAAGATTGAAGAAACTTATGAAGACCACCCTGATGACCAAGTTATAGTTCTGGAATGCACTAGAAAGACTAGAGACTAGACTAGAGTGTTGTTTTCGGTCAGTTTACTTTTCAAATTTTTTTTTTTTCATTTTCTCCAAATCTAATGGACAGAATTGAATACAATGTTTTCAGATCATCAAATGTTTTTGAAAACCTGTGTGTTAAAATGTGATCATAGGTCTAAAGTTTAACCTCAATTTTTTTGAATACTGTTATTATGAATAGTTTCTGAGAAAAGGAAACAAGAAATCTGTCACATTAACGTAGGAGAGTTAGGGCCTTCTGGAGTCCCTTAAGAAGAAAATGCTGAAAATGCAAATGCATATTGAAAGAAAAGCACATAACCTACAAGTAATGGCACTCTTCAATTTACAGTAGTTTCATGTAAGATTTAATTTTTTTTAAGCATCAGCAACTCTGCAGTGACATCGTCATGACTTGAAGCCCCTGATAAACAGAATTCCCTTTGCCCTGAAGCCTCTAGGTATCAAGTAGACAGAAATATTTCAATAGTATTACAATAAATAAATAATTTAGTATTTTTGCTGAACAGGCAACCTTGTTATAGACCCAGGACAAAGCAACCTTAGTGTCTAAAGATCTGTATGAATAGTGTACTGCATATGCGATTTTTCAGCTCCCTTCTGAAGTTGTTCTTCCAGGAAGTTCAGGTGTAAATCCTTTAGAGGTCACTCAAGTTTCATCTTTCCTGAGTTTGTTATAAGTTAATGCTAGGTTTTCTTATTTTTTAAAGTTTGTTGCATCTTTTTTGAAACACCTCTTATCCCATTTTTGGGCATATAGTGTTCATAATTCTGGATCAATTCTCTGTTAAGTTTTTGTCTTTTCTCTCCTAATGTCGCTGTCCAGGAATCTGTGACGTCTCGATTTTCTTAACTTCCATGTCTTCCCGGGGCATAGTTAAGGAATTCAGCTAATGACTCTGGTTAAAGTGAGTTTCTTGGTTAAAAAGATTTTTTAAATAAAATAAAGTTTTTGGTTAAAAATACCCAGTAGAAACAGTGCAAAACACTAATGTTTTTGGCTTAACCCATAAATGCCTGTGTCGCTTAGGGACACTAATTTATTACCTAGTTCTGGCTTGCACGTTAGTTTGATTTTGCAACTGATTGGTTTGGTAACAGATACAGTTATTGTAGTTGTTTTGACAGTTAAGCAATACAAACCGTGATATTCTACAAAGATGTTGCAGGGTGCATATTGACTGAGTGGATGAATTTTTAATTAATTGTGAACTTTTGTGTGTAACAATGTTGTAGTTTTACTTATAATTATTCTAAGAGTACTGGACATTATGATTGTAAGTCAGGTTATATTTTAAATAAAATAGTAATATATACTTCTTTCATGTTGTACCCAAGCAGGTACAATGGGCAAATACATATAATAGTTTACTAATTCTTTCAGAATTGACTGCATTATAATGGCACACAAGAAAGATTTAACTGTTGGTGATAATTATTGAGGTCTGGAAGAAACCATTAATTCAATTATGGACAAGAGTGATGACTCTGACATTTAATATGACCTTATATTATTTCCACCTGAACTTGATGATGTAACCGATGAGGAAGAATGAAACATGATTTGGTGTCTTCTATACTTCCACAAGACGTTCCTGGTACTGTAGAAGTAGTTAGTCGGCATTCAGAAAACAAATCATACTGGGAAAGCAGTGATGATGAGCCACTTACAACACTGACTTCCACTGAAAGGCGATCTCCATTTGTTGCTCTTGTTCGTACTTGGAGAAATATGTTGTTCGTTTACTCCACTACACACACAGTAGTGGAAGTCGTTGAAGATAAGTGGGATTCTCTTAAAACTTTTACTCCAGGAATGTTATTTCAAAAAACTTTTATTGACAACATTGTTGATTCATTTCTTTAATGCAGCATGATACATGAAGACCAGAAAAAGACATACATTTTTATTTTGAAAAAGGACTACTTCAAAGGATTTCTAAGAATTTTTGTGTTATCTGGTTATCACAGATTACCAACTGAACATGCGTATTGGAGTTTGGATGAAGACCTCTGTGTTTAAATTATAGCGAATTGTATGTCCAGAAATTGCTTTCTTGGCATCAAGTGAAACTTGCATACTGGGCCCAACACTCTTGCGAGATGTAGTGACAGAATGTTCAAAGTTCGCCCATTACTTGATTTACTAGATAAGAATTCTTGTCAATGGGAATTGTATCATGAGACATTGGCAATTGATGAAACAATGATAAAGTTCTTTGCTCATCACCCCACTAAGCAATTTATCAGAGAAAAATCCTTGCGATTTAGGCTGTTACTGGTTCAAATGGATAACAATGGGTATTGTTATTCATTTCATGAATATTGTGGCAAATGAACTGAAGTTTCTAAAGACCCACTTGGATCCAGGGTAGTGAAGGTTCTCATGCAAAAATTGCCTTAATAGGAAGAACCTGTGTGTTCTTTGACAGTTACAATTTGCTGAATGACTTGGGGAAAAAACAGGGTATGGAGTAACAGGAACTTTGAGGGGCAACCACACAAAAAAGTGTCGACTGATTGCAGAAACAAATGAAAAAGAAATCTACCATTAGAGCTGATTTTGATTATTGCTTTGGCAGCAAAAATGAGATGTTGTTTGTGCATTTGGAAGACAATAACGTTTTTAGCATGGGAAGAAATTATGACAATATTGAACCTTCTAGAAAAGCAAAGCGGTGATGGAGTGAAAAGAGGCAAAAAATAATGTAAATATACCACACATGTTCTAAATGTATAAACAGATTGGGGTACACCAAATGGATCAATTTATCAGTATGTACCATGTATCAATAAAAGGTAAAAATTGTGGTGGGTCCTTTTTACTTCCTTGATGGATTTGGCAGTTACTAATGCATTACATCTGCATGTTCTGACTAGAATGGAGACAGCTTGACCGAATCAACTCTCATTCAAAAGGAAAATAACGAGGGCTTACTTGCGCCAGAATGTCAAGAGAAGTTGTCCATCATCAATTGTTGAAAGTTTAATGCTACAAAATAACGGGCACATCTCGGAAAGAATTGTAAATCCATTAAGATGTTTTGTTCACCATAACAGTGTCAATGTAAGAAATGCCAAAAAACACTATGTATTGAAAGGCCATGCGTAGGACATTTTCATCACTGATCTGCCCGTTGTACTCGGTTGGGTTCCACCTCTTTATTTCAATTGTTTCTTTAGTTGTGTGTTATGCGAATTTCCTGTGTTTTGCTTGTAGAAATAAAACTTTGTATAAAAAAAATCATTGTACATTTTCTTTGGGCATTAATAGGATAAGGGAGAAAATATTTTAAAAAGTCATGTTCTTAAAAAAATACATGTGGTTTAAATCATGGTAAAAAAAAAAAAATTGTTTAAACCAGCCAAGTGTGTGGGGGAGAATACGTTTGCACATTGTACTTACTTTTGGCATATTTACACTCTTGTATCCAGCATTCCTTTATTTCATTGTTATGTGTATAAACACAATACAAAATAGTAACCCTGAAATAATAGGTAGGAAAAAATTGTGTTAAAGGTAAAAGGAGAAAATGCTGTAAAGAGCATGGAGAATTTAATGCTGAACAACTTGTGTTCTGAAAACATTGTAAAACTAAGGGTTGAGGCACTAATGAATGAAAAGTGTGAAACATTAAATGTTTTTCAAAAATTGGTGATTTTCACCAGTGAATCCTCAAAAACTATTTGAAGTAGAGAGACATTAAAGGAACAATACAATATTAAAGGTGAACTTTGAATGTAAAAGCTTCTCTGATACGATGCACCATTTTTTAGGTAAAACAAAAGGGAACCAAAATGAAGTGGGTTAAGTAGGAACAGTTAATGGCTGACTAAATCACAAGTCTACCACAAGCACAAAAGGGATGGGCTTAGGAACCTAACCTCCTGCATGTTAATGAAGGTGGTGGTGATGATGATGATGGTGATGGTGATGGTGGTGAGGAATGGTGTACGTTTGTTGCAATTAAAATACGAAACTAAAAAGAAATTTCTCTTTTTCAAATATTTATGAAGTTATCTGCAATAATAAGTTCCAATTTCATAAAAACGTCAATATCTGTTAAATTTAATAAACATAATTGAAAAATTGACGTTCAAAAGAACAAAAACGTTTGGGACTTTTGTAACTTTAAATGCCATTTGGTTTTTTGCAACTCATTAACCCTTGCTATCACTAAAATATTTTTAATATTTATCATACACTATATGAATCATGTTAGCGATGATTCAGGCTTTACCTGTTGTATTGCTGCGTATAAATTCTTTAAATAAAAGAAGTTTTCTCTCTCAACCTACATAAGTGTTATATTGTATCTTATTTCAAAAATGCTATTGACACTTCATTGTATAATTCAGATTTAAGTTGTTTGATAGAAGACTTAGGGGCTATCCATAAATTATGTAATGCAAATAGAAAGTATTTTGATTATTCCTCCTCCCCTCCATTTTCC